CATTCTGTTGCAACACTGTTCACATAAAATTCACAAACATCCAGTGAAAAGTCAACAAATCATCATTCTGTTGCAACACTGTTCACATAAAATTCACAAACATCCAGTGAAAAGTCAACAAATCATCATTCTGTTGCAACACTGCATGTGGAGCTAGACTTAAGTCAGCATGAATATGTATGTTTTATTATAGTAGAGTACTGTACTATCTACATACAGAGTAGTTATTAATTGTTTAATTATATTACTAATTTAAACAACTCTGTACAACAATAGTATACTAGCTATTTCAATCACTGGCTATCACATACGTACATGAATGCACTACAGAAATAACATGTTAGTATGCCTCATTTGTTTGGGTGCTCTTCCGTAAATAACTTGCACACAGTTTCAAGGTTGATAGCAGTGTCATAATGAGTATGTATTAAAGCTAGAGCACTCAGTCTTTCTTCGGTTTATGTACAAAAATAGGGGGTTCGACCGAACCCGTTCGAAACCCCTTGCGTACGTGCGTGCCATTGGTGTATGTTTCTTTGTTGTGATATGATTAACCAATAGGAAATAAAATTTCGTTTTTTTAAATAAATCAAAAGTAAAGTTACGCTATGTTATAATTGTGAGTAGCTGATAGTAAAATTTCATAGACATATTACCCATTCAACATAAAGAAATTAATAAAATTTTGTGGTTACTGTTTTTTTAATGTAATTACTTTAAAAAGTAATCTACGTTTTCGTTGTTCTAACTTAGTGTTTGCTAGAGGGCGCATAACGTTAGGATCAAATAATTCACAATAGTTGCCTTAGAATACTTAAAATGTTCATGATAGAGAGACCTTACGAAATATCTAGAAATAACGCTACATCATGAATACCAGAATCAGTAATTACAGCATTGAGTCAGTTTTCGGTTAGTAGAGCGCCAGTCAAAGTGAAGTATTGAGATCAGTGTTATTTATTGAATATATTCAGTTACTCGATCGATTAGCAGTGAAATTGTACCAGTAAGTTTATTTGTGCGGTAATCGTAGTACAATTAGTGAGGAATTTCCTCTTTAAGGTTACTTGTGAACTTATGTACAAGTGAGAGTATTAGTAACCTGTAGCATAGGTTAAGGAAGAAATGGATTTCGCATTGCTTCCATCAAATAATTCAAAAGACCCGCTCACCAGTAGAATACTTGCAATACTTATGATCAGTATTTTTTAACTCAGTATTTTGGTATAAAACGCCTAAGCTGGCAAAGCAAGAAGGCTTATTTGACCTAATAAATATGATGAAATCTGCAGTCAAAACACGATTTTTATTTTAACTCTGATTTATTGTTTTGTATTCTTTGAGTGGCTTTTAAGTATTGTACTGAGTTACTTTGGTCTTTTTGTTTTCTAAACACGTTATGTTTCATAAACTTTGAGAAAACTAAATAAAACTTTAAACAGGTGTGTGTTCTGATGGTAGTAGCTTCTTCAATTGTTCTTCTTTTCATAGTAGAAACCTGTCCACAATTTTTTGTTTTTTTTAAAGTTGATGATATGGTTGTTTTCCTAGCATGTAATACTGTAAGATACCAAATAAACACTCAACGTGGAAAATCGTCTATACATTTAATAAGATTTATAATCCCATTCTCGTTATGAGTGTCTATAAAACACTATTGTCTTCTTAAAGTTTTGTTGATATTGAAATAATTGTTTTATTTATTTATTTTTAGTTTAATAATTTATACAGTAGTATTTATATGTTAGAATAGGCTTTTCGGATTTGAGCAAGGTTATGCTGAATAAAAAAAGTGTGGTAGCACCTCGTATTTATTCAGTCATTGTTGCACATGGTGCCAGCAAACCTTGATAACTTAAAATCGTCCTTGACTAGTTTATCAAACCTGTTTATTTCGTAATTTTGATTTGAAAACGATTAAACCAGGAAGAATAAATTGGAACAAACCACACCCGTAATTTTTAATTTTATATAAATTGATGCAACAAACTCTGAAATACAGCTGTAATTGAACAATTTAAAACTTAATTGTAAAAATAATTCACAAGATTTGTTAAGCTTACAACAGCAAGAAAAAGTAGGAAACATCGTATTTCATCGAAGGAGAACCTAATTAAGAGGTATGTTGGTAATTTAAAAAAATGTTCATTTACATTGCATTTAAAACATTCTTTAGTCAGGCCTTTTTATTGGTAGAGTATTTTTATAATATTAGTTAAACCTTAGAGTAAAGTGAGTTCATGACTGTGGTAATTAAATAGGAGTACCATCCCTCTTCTCCACGTTTAAACTTAATCATAGGTCGTTCATTTTGGCTTATAAATTATCTTTTTGTTGGTTACTAAACTAAGTTAAAATTTATTATTAGCTAGTAAAGTTACTTTTAATTTTCACAATAAGTTGTTTTTACATTCAATACCACGTTGCTGTTTATATTGGTTATTGTTTTTTTAACAACCACTGCACCAACACGTTTAAAATATAGTATTCATTATCATTAAGATTTGTTTCAATGAAAGCACAAAAATCTTTTCTTCTGATATTATTTATAGCTGTTTTTCCAGTGTTGAAGTGTATCATTACTTATTTACTTGAACGTTTAAATATAATAAAACAATAAAGATATTTTACACATTTATAATTTTTTTTTCTCTCTCTCTCTCTAATTGATACCAACCCTAATTGTAAGATGAATAAATAAAATAAAAATTGAACTTACATAAAGATTCCTCTTATTAGGCCTTCATCTTACCCACCCTTTTTTTCTTGACATTCAAGTGTAGAATAACCTTTCTATTACAATGTTTATTACTAATACTAATCATAGCCTCCGGGCAAAAAACTACAATTAGGAAACTCGTTTCTTCTTCAGCTACGAAAGCAGGATGTAAGAAGGAACATTGTTTCAGGAAGTAACTGGTAGTGAATATACTAGTTTTTACTGGGACTCGTAAAGAGAATTCGTATTTGATAAGCTGGCTTTTACTTTTTGATTTATTTGTGTGAAATATATAACAAATTTTGACTAAATTGCCCCTATATACTTTAGTCTCAGAAATCTTGTAACAATTTTTATTTTAAGATACTAAACAAATGTACGCGTCATTTCTTTTGTGAATACCCTAAACTATATGTTATGTTAGATATGATACAGAAAGATATATATCTCTTTTCGCTCGTTATTTTTATTTGTCGTTTTGCATCATAGGATTTTGATATCTCTGTATAGTTCTGTAAAGTTTTCAGATTATTGTTTTTCTCTCACAAGTCGGACCACCTTATACTTTCCGTCTTCGCGTGAAGTTTTACTCCTCTGAACCGAACAATCTACGGGAAGAATTAACAAGGTATGTTAAATTAGAGTTGTTTTGGATATTTTACCCAATACCTTCAACTATATCATTACATGTAAAATATCTAGCACGCCTCCAGTTTTTATTGTTTTTTTAATTATTAAAGTTACATCATTTTAATTGTTTTGTTAATAAAAAAACACAAGGTGGGCATCCTCTTTTTATTATTCATAAAGGTACTGTCGTTACTGAATTTCATTATACAACCATTGCATACAAGTATATTGTAAATATTTAGACATCCGTCATATATATATATATTGTTCACACTGCATGGTTCTTTTAACGCTCCCACGCTGACCTTCTGACCCCACAGGTACTTGTTCTTCCTACAGCTGAAGCAGGACATTTTGTTGGGCAACCTAACCTGTCCTTACCAGACTACTGTCGAGTTGGCTGCATATGCATTGCAATGTGAGTGACATTTCCCTGCCATCTAGTAGCAGTAAAATGAAACTCTGAAATATTCGAAATTAATATATATATATATATATATATATATATATATATATGTGTGTGTGCCTGTGCGTATATTGTAAAGTATATATATAATCTACTGGAAAACTGGATTAATTTGTAATTTTTTTAAGAATTTGCAATTTGTTTTATTGGTTTTGTAATAATAATAATAATAATTTAGGCAATTTTCTGTAAAATGAATATTCTACTACTGTTATACAAGAACTGTACTTTATGTAAAACACTGTAGCCAAACAGTTACAAAATGATCAAAAACCAAGAAAGTCTTTGTATATTAATTATGATTAGGTGGCATGTGTAGGAAATATGTAAGTATGTATGTGTGTGTGTGTGTGTAAGTTTTGAAACATTTTTATCTTATGTCGAATTTACACCATACTATGACAGCTGAACTTGGGGATTACAATCCAGAAGTCCACACTCCAGGCTTCATTTCTGAATTTCGGTTTGTTCCAGAGCAGACTGAAGAAATGGAAATAGATATTTTGAACCAATTTAAAACTTTAAGGTAGTTTTTTTTTCCATCACACTTTAACATTCAAATTACTTGTTTAAATATTACTTTCAAGTTATGTTGCATACAAAGTAAAATACTTGATGTGATAAATGAGTTTAAATCTTTTCATATAGGGTATTTGACTACTTTTCCTTTAATTCTCATCTCAGTAGATTAGTGTTTTAATTTTATCATAGGAAATTTGAGTTTTAGTATGTTTATTGATTTTTTTACTTGATAATATAAACCCTGTGTTAGCTGACGTGATAATGAAAAAAAAGCTATTGCTGTAACTTTTATGACTTTTGGTTGGCTTTACATCTTACCTAATGATGCTGATACATTTTTATTTTAGGAAAATTTATAACTAAAAGCATGAAGTATTCAAGTTTTGAAGTGTTGCATTTATGGTTTTATTAAATCATACTGTTAGATGAATTTCACATGTAGTTTTTTGTGCATAACTTTTAAATTTAGGTGAATAGGTGTAGAACATTTTGTATATAAGGAAAAAACCTTTATTTAAATTCTATGTTTAACCTGTGAAACAACAACATTCTGTATATCTAGTTTGCCATTTGCAACAAAATATTATTGTCCAAGATAAAACAAATATTTAGATGAAGTCATTTTTTACTTTTTTGTACATTTTAGGGGTCAAACACCAGCTCAGTCAGAACTCAATTACCTCAACAAAGCCAAGTGGTTAGAAATGTATGGTGTAGACATGCATACAGTACAGGTAATATTTTTGACTCAAATTATTGATTTAATTTTAGCTTTCTTGTTTAGGTACTTAATGATACATATGCTTTCATAAAATTCAAGAGACTTTTTGTATTAACTATTTGTTGTAATCATAATCATCATCATTGATTATATATATAATTGAAAGATTGGAAGTATATTAACATTTTTAATCTGTTTCCAGGGGGGTATAGAATAAATAGTTTCACTTCTGCTTTACACCATTCACTTTCTACTGCTGTGAAACATGCAGTAATATGTTTGTTATGATAATAAAGTAGAAGAAATCTTAACATAACATATGGAGAATGTTCAATCTGGTTTTTAAGGATGTTGCTGCACACCAACTCTTGAGAAAAAAGTAAAAACTTAAATCCAACCTTTATGATTTTGCAAAATTTCTTTTATTACACTCTATAGATTTTTTCCACTACAAAAATAAGATTAACTGGCATATAATTTTCAAGGCAATTTTTATCACCATCTTTAACCCTTTGGATGCTATAATCAGATTTATTCAATTTGAAATTTATAGCCGTTTGGTGCAACAAGCCATGATGTCACAAAAACTTTTCCTCATAATCTGACAATTGGGATACTCGCACATCTTTAAATTTCCTGCCTTAATACTGTGCATGTGTACATCACTGAGCAACAGTGCGACTAGTGAATTTTGTATTGAAAAAGTTATAAAAAAATTTCAAATTCTAAATTTCATTTTATAGTGGATAACTGACAATTTTTGAGAACCAACCTGAAATTTAATTATGCACTCAAAGGGTTAAAAATAGGAGAAAATTAGCATTTTCTAATCCTCGGACACCTGCTCTCTATCTATTGACATACTAAAAGTGAAATAAAGAGACTCGCATCTCTGATTTTTGATTTCCGTTAAAGCTATGAGTGTGGTTGAAAGTGTGCATGGCACAACTTATTACAGAGTTACATTTAAAGCTTAATCAAACAACTTTATTATCAATGTAAACTTGGCATTAAAACATAGTTTATAATCCAGATTTTAATATTTTATTATACAAGTTTTAATTTCTTAATTTCAAAAGGAAGTGTTTAAATAACTTTTTTTCTCTTTATCACTTGGCACTTTGTTCCAAATTCTACTTCTATATGATCTTCTAAGTTTGGGCCAGATTACAAATTTATAGTGTAAATATTGCTTAGACATAGTTTAGACTTATAAAGCCTCCAATCTTCTTACTTTACTGAGATATGAACAAGAAATTCAAACACACATGCCATGCCCTCCTGGCACATGCTGTCTTTCAAGAAATTGTGGTAATTCTCTTTGGCAATTGCTATTGGATTATTTATAACCACAGTAAGAGATTTTAATTTATTGAATTTTCTATAAGGCTAGCTTGTTCTGATGACAGTTTTTGAATTATTTGGCATCTGTTTGTTTGTCATCAAGATTACTTCGACAAGCTAAGGGAATTATTTGAACTCATGTACAGCTTAAAAAGCCAGTTAAATTATAATAGTTTTCAGGACTGTATTTTTTATGCATGTTAACATTTTGGATTCTAATTAATATATTCAAAATAAATAAAAAGCACTATGTACTACCAACAATCCTACTAAAAATTAGGGTTAAGTTTCATTGAGACTTTGACAGCAAAAACTTGAAGTATAAGAGCCCAGTGTAAGTTTTAAATTTCTTGATTTTTAATGTATATTTTTTATTTATTGTTATAAAAGTAACTAAAATGTAAAAATTATAGATTTAATAGGATAGATAAGAAAATGTAAATGGAAAAAAAATTGGAAAGATTACTTGTGATAGTAGGTGCACATGTGAAGAGATGTGTAAAGCCTGATTGTAATTTGATTGCATGTGCTGGTAACTTGATCCTTTGTTTACACAAAGCTGTCCTTCTGAGATAAAATGCTTTCACCATAATTTCTTAATATCAGCTGTAAAGCAATAAATCTAAGTGACCCTGAATTTTGAAAAGTAATAGCTTTGTCTGTAAAATAAATAGTGTGTAATTGTCTGTTACAATATGCAATCATTCTAGAAATAAAAAAGGGGAATTTTGTTTTATTTCATGTTTTTCAAATTTTCGTTTTATTCTACATTGCTAATTTTGCTACAGTTATTGTTAGGATAGAGAAAATAACAGATAAAATGTGAAGTTTTATTAAAAAATTTGATATTCATTTAGGAAGTTCTAAAAGTTATGCAAATGAAATATGAAAATTACTTTGCACTCAGACTAGTCATACTGACTATATAAATTCATAGACAAATTTTTAGTAAAATGCTTTATTAAAAAAAATTGATTTTTTGTGTACAACAGATGCGTAATGTGTACTAAAAGCTTTTCAAATTTCATGAAGATGCACATAGTAAATTTGGAAATTATAATAAACATTGAACTGACCTTGCACACAGAATTAAACACTGAAAAAAAAACATTGTTTGTTCCTGGTGCTTTATCTATTTTTAACTACTTAATTTTTTAACCACCAAGGTGCACAGATAGCTCAATGTGTAGCTTTATGCTTAACAACAATCACATCAAACCTCCGAGGTTATAATATCTACATGGTTCAGGACAATTCTAATAAACTTCAAAACAGGAAAATTTCAACATCTTCTCTTGTAAAAACAGCATCCTTCCTTATCCAGTATTTTGCTTCCCTTTACCATGCTTAATAAATCTTTGCTGTTTTAACATTATCAGTCAGCTGTTTCTCATAAGCTCTTTTGGAATTTTTTAATTACATTTTTAGCCAAGCCCTAGAATTCCTATAATTTTCTAAATTTTTCCATCCTATCTGCTAACTTAAACATTTTAAGTTTATAGCTCTTATTGTTTATTTTTTCCTTTATCTTGGTAATGAATCTCTTGTTGTACACTAAGAATAATAAAAACATTAATACCAGGAGTCTTAGAAACTTAGTATTTATTAGGACATGTACAAGTCGAGCAATATATACATGCAATTCGAAAATGCAGTACCTGGACTTTTATAGATAACAAAACTGGACTTCAAAATTTTGACTAAACAATAAAACTCCAATACAAGAAGTTAAGAAAAGGAACGAGAAAAAAAAACTAATTTTGATTTATTATAACTTTCAAAATTTATGAGTTCTAATAGTTTGGAAACAATATCCAATGTAAAACTCCATTTTCTACACTATCTGACTTATCAGTCTTTAGAACAATTTATGTACAATGATAATGAGGAAAAAAAAATTAGAAATACCATATTATATCTTTAGTAAGCCAGTTAGGTTTGATCTTCCCTGTTGTCTTTCTCTTCTTTAGGAAAATGTCTGCCTTGAAGTTAAAGTAATTTTTTAAAATAATTTTCCCAAGTCTGTCCTACACCACATTTAAACACAGTATGTTAAATGACTAATGATAAATTTTGTCTCATGGCCTCATAATTGGCTTTCTAAAAATAAAGAAAAAAATGTTTTATTTGTTTTTATCTAAACATGTAACAGAACATCAACCCTAATTATACAGCAATCTCTGATCCAAAATGTTCTCCCTATTCAACTCTTGAACCACATTCTTGTTAACTATTAATCTAAAATTGCATCCTCTCTGGTTTGCTCTGACTATTTGGTATAGAATAACTTTTGAACCACTTCCAGAAACCTCTCTTGCCTCACTTCTTCACTCCATACAATATAAATTAGTGTGCCTGAAATTAAAGTCTCCCATAATAATTGCATCAATATCCTTATTAACAACAAGCCTGATCTCATTATGCAATTTCTCTTTGACCTCGCTGTATTGATCTGATGGCTTATGACAGTTGCCAATTGTAAACTTTCTACCCTTGAAACCTGTGTTTACAATCTATACAGCTTCAACCTCTTGACTACCATTTGTATACACCATCAATCCCAACAGGATGCCATTATAAGGGCACTTTTTAAAAAGTCTATCACTATTAAATGACTTATAACATGGAAATTCAAAATAACACCTGTTATTGATATTTTCCAAGTCTAACCAAGTTTTAGTAGTTTTTATTACATCATAGCTTTCCATTTCAAAGTAAGACCAATTTGTTCATGATGAGTATATCCTTAATAACTCCTTGATAATCTTTCATTTAAACTTTTGATTTTGTCGAGTAGTTCACTCCCACATTTATCCCAAGGGAACACTCTAAAAAGGACCACATGTCTATTTTGGTCCATAAACCTCTGATGGGCATTACAGAATAGAGAACTTAAGATGAATTCTTCTCATTTTTGATACCAAATGATCCACATCAGTCTCTCTCTCTCTCTTTTTTTTTATATTCTAGGGTAAAGATGGAAATGAGTATTCATTAGGCTTAACACCTACAGGTATCTTGGTCTTTGAAAACACCACAAAGATTGGACTCTTCTTCTGGCCTAAAATAACTAGGTTAGATTTCAAAAGTAAAAAACTGACCTTGGTTGTTGTGGAGGATGATGATGAGGTAAGTAATGATAATGGATGTTGTCTAAACATTATTTTTAGAAATTTTATTCTGCTGTTTACTTGAAAAGAGTAAAACGAATTATCTTGTTAGAGTAATATTTCTAAATTGTTCTTTACACTTCTTTTTCAACCAATAAATTTACTCTTCAACAATGTCTGACTTGGCCTTTAGTGTGTATGTGTGTAATATTGTGCTTTATTTTCCACAGTACTGTTTGATAGGTTACAGTGAACAATTCAAAACAAACCTTCATAGTTCATCAATCTTTAATAGCCTTTAATAAAAACTGTTTTACCTTAATTAAAAAAAGAATCCAAATTCATTTTTTTTTAAACTTGATTATGCTCCATTTCACAGTGCTTAATAACTTTCTTATTCTTGTGATAACTCATGTTGGAGGTAATTTTTTTTCTTTTAATATTTTGGGACAACATGGGACCTGTTGGTCCATCTTGGCTGTTCCATACTCTAAACTAAATTAAAATAATTAAAAAAAAGAAAAAATCTTAAAGCCAGCCCTTATCATTCATATATTAGGTCGTCAAGAAATTAATGTCGCTTTTTTTAGATGAAAAAACTCGAACAACTTGTATATCAAAACAAAACATTATTAAATGAAATAGTCTCCATTCTTATCAATGATGCTTTTCAATTTTACAATCAGGTTGTTAATGCCCTGATTAAAGAAATCACTTGGCTTTGAAGCAAAAAACATGTAAATGTCCTCTTCCACATTTGTTTACGTTTTCCCATTAAGATGATGTTGCAGTGAACGAAAAAGATGGTAATCTGATGGTGCCATATCTGGAGAATATGGTGGGTGGGGGAGAACTTCCCAACCCAACTCCATAATCTTGTGTTCTGTCAAACGTGCCACATGTGGATGGGCATTGTCGATTGATGAGTGAAGGGCATTTCTGATGAAGGGCTTGATTTAAATGTTCCAATTGCTGACTATAGATCTCTGCATTGACAGTTTGCTGTGGAATGAGGTGTTCGAAATGAATTACTCCTTTGATGGTCTCGCCAAATGCAAAGCATCACTTTCTGCGGATGGAGTCTAGGTTTTAAGGAAGTGTTTTTTGTCCAGGACTGAACCATTGTTTTTGGCATTTAATATTTGCATAGAGAATCCATTTTTCATTAATCCTGTTTGACTAAACTCCATTTGTAACAACCTTCTGCTTTCTTTCATCCAGCCACTCTTCTATCCAATTTTCTAACTTATCCCCCACATTTATAGAGATAATTTCTTTTACAAGCCTCTTATGTGGCACCTTGTCAAATGCTTTCTGAAAATCCAGATACACCAAAACTCCCCCCTTACCCAAATCTACATAAGCAGTAACCTATTCGAAGA